TCGTGCTCAAATGTCCCTTTTTATTCTTCAAGAGTCCGCATGACAGTCATTTCACAGTAGTCCAGCAGAGCAGACCAGGTCATCTGTACACACGACTCTCGAAAACATCCGAAAATAAAGCCAGAGAACAGAAAACAGACCGGACGTGGCAGAAGAGCCGTCAGAAAGAGCCAGAACGGGCTTTTCTTCTTGAGCTCGACACACAGAACAGCCTGAGAAGCACAGAGGAGTTCAGATCAACATCACTGAGAGGAACTCATTCATCAGTCGGACACCTTTACTGTACGCTCTCACTGTAACCGTCCACACACAGCTGAAGTCAGAATTATTCGCCGTCCTGTTGAATGCTTTGAGAATTTCCCCCAATTTCTGTTTATCAGAGAACACATGTGTAAATATAACAGTGTTAATAACTCATCTCTAATAACTAAAGTCTTTGTCTTTGCCACGATGATAGTAAATGATATTAGACTAGATCTTCTTCAAGACACTAGTGTTCAGCTTACAGTGGCATGTAAAGGCTTCACTAGGGTAATGAGGGTAAAGTTAGGGTAATTAGGCAAGTCATTGTATAACAGTGGTTTGTTCTGGAGACAATCCAACACTAATATTGCTGAAGGGGTGAATAATATTGAGCTTAACATGACTTTAACACTATTAAAGACTGCTGTTATTCTAGCACAAATAAAACTAATCAGACTTTCTCCAGAAGAACAAACATTAGAGGAAACACTGTCAACAACTCCTGAATCTGTTCAACTAAATTTAGGAAAAATAGAAATATAAAAGCAAATCACATGACGGCTATCAATAATTTTGACTTCATCTGTATTTTAGACAAACACAATAACTGGGTTAAAATATTATAGGAAAAACTGTAACCTAACCTTTGAGTTTATTTTCTCCAAATAAAACTAACGATTTAATGGAGTTAAAACAATTCTGTTAAAGGGACGGTTCACTCAACAATGGAAATCATTTACTCACTCTACTGCTTCAAGCCTTTATGAGTTATTATTTCTGATTAACACAAAAGAAGACATTCTGAAGAATGCTGAAAACCGGTCACTGTTTATTTTTCCTGCTATGGACATCAGTGGTAACTTGTTTTCATCATTCTTCAAAACATCTTCCTTTGGGTTCAACAGATGAAACTCATAAAGGCTTGGGCATGCTTGAGGGAGGGCAAATACTGAAGCACATAATGATTTGTGGGTGAACTATCCCTTTAACTAAATGAAATATTCTTTAGGAAGGCAACACACACAATAATATCATACTGTAATTGTAAAATACTGATGTTGTTAACCAAATTCAAATTAACTTGCATTATTTTAATGAGAATGTGCTTCATTGTCTCGTTTTTTTTAACAGTAACCAAAGCCCACTTGAGAAAATACTACAGTAATGTCTAGGAAATGCTGTTAGTGTTTCTGAACCATACTAGAGTATATTATACTGTATATAATAAAGTATCTTCAACACTATTAATCAATGCTCCAGCATACTGTGCTGTTAACTAGAGTGAACTGATTTAACTGTAGTATGTTTCAGTTTTTACTACAGTAAACGGTGGTGTATTGCAGTATAATATACCCTACAGTTGTAGAAAACTACAGTACTGGCGCATTTGTTTATATTACTGCAGTTATTGTGTTACCATAGCAGCTGTAGAATCACCACGACAGATCAATTACTGTAGTTGTTGTGTTGCCATAGCAACTGCAGAATCATTGCGGCAGATCAATTACTACAGTTCTTGTGTTGCCATAGCAACTGTAAAATCACAGCAACAGATCAATTACTACAGTTGTTGTGCTGCCATAGCGACTGTAGAATCACCACGACAGATCAATTACTATAGTTGTTGTGCTGCCATAGCAACTGAAGGATCATTGCGGCAGATCAATTACTACAGTTGTTGTGTTACCATAGCAACTGTAAAATCACAGCAACAGATGATTTACTATGGTTGTTGTGTTGCCATAGCAACTGTAGAATCATAACGACAGATGATTTGCTACAGTATTTGTGTTGCTATAGCAATCGTAGAATCACCGCAACAGACGATTAACTACAGTTGTTGTGTTGCCATAGCAACCGTATAATCATAACGACAGATGATTAACTACAGTTGTTGTGTTGCCAATGCAACCGTAGAATCACTGCAGATTAATTCCAGTACTTCATTAAGGTTCAAAAGCCCTACAGCCTTTATAATGGATTACTATAGTATTCTTTGTCATGCGAGTGTAAACAAGACAGATTGGAGAGACTCTCCTCTATAAACACAGATAATCAGTTCCAGGGCAATCCTACAACCCCCCTCTGCTCAGTCCAAGCAACCGGCAGTCAGATGAAGAGTTCAGCAGCACAGACAGAACTCACTAAAGAGAGAAAGTACAGGAGGAATCAGACTGAAAGTAAAGTCAGACAGCGAGACTCGGCCTTCATGCGCTCAGAGAGACTGAAGATCCGGCCGATGAGCACTGACGGACGCTCGGTACGCCCACATTCAACACCAGCAGTCTGGAGGAGATGGCAGCGCTAACAGATATAATAATGCAGAAAGACTAGTTATCATACTCGGTCTGATCTCAGATCTGTCACGGCAGTGAGATTCTTTTATGTATATCAAAATTCACAAAATGCCCCGCACTCGGAATATTCAAAATACATATCAGAAATAGATTTACAAAGGTGGCGACGCTGCTGAAATATTGCTGGGCTGAAATGTTGAGGATTACACTGGACAACTGAAGAGCGAGGAGCGGCTGATGATCTGATAACAAACGCAGTCTGCCGACCGACTTTAATAACGCTAAACTGACTGACTGTAAACTGATTAGCCATTAAAAAACATAGAAAAACTGACCGTCATCAATAATCACAGCGTTTATAGCAAAATAAAGTCTTCAATCTAATTTCTTTGAGACCGAAACGTGAGGAAATAAACTGCGCTCGGCCTCACGACGTGGTTCAAAACGAGAATAAATACATCTGTAACTGGTAAACATTCGGCAGTGGAGCTATTCACAAACTGAACTCAGGAGATCTGGCGATAATACGGGCGTCAGAGTGACGATTGTTCACCAGACCTGCAGAAGGGAAGACTTGATGCCAAAGCAAAAGCACGGCTAGAACACTAGAAACGAGACGCTGTGATTGGCCGAATCGCTGGAGTGGAAAATAGAAAAATACAGGAATATGTGAGATTATCAAAAGGTAAACGCTCTAGCGTTGAGGAGAACTCTGAATGTCACGCTTCAGATTCCTGATTCTCTAACGTCACCACAGTCTTTATTCTGGATTTGGTCCGTTTAAACGCAGTTCTTTAGTTCAGTACCTGAAGGAAATCAACTAAAACAACCCAACGATGACCCAGAAACCCCTCTGACTGATCATCAACTGGTCGTTGGACTTTATGAATATGAATGGACCGTATGAAAGGAGAACACACACACACATGCAAAACACACACACACACACACTTAAATGCACGCACACTCACAGGCACAAATGCATACACACACACACAACTGTAAGAGTGCACTCTCTTGTCCACACACATATAACCATGCATGCACACACAACTTCATGAGTGCACTCACACACACACACATACAAACATGTACGCGCACACACACACCCTACAGAAAGCTGAAGCCGTTTCCCTGCAGCCGGAGTTGTGGGCTGAATCGCTGCGCAGTAAAAGCTGCTGTTCAGTGTGTGTGTGTGTTGCACCTCAGACCTGCAGCTCGTCCAGCAGAGGAGACAGAGCTCAGAGATCCGTCACCGGCGCTCCAAACACACACACGCACACGCACACACGCACACGCACACACACACACAAACACGGAAGAATACTGCCATGCAAACACTGACTGAGCATGTGCAGACCCGCAGAACAGCAGAAACTGCGCGGATCCGCGTGTGCGCCGCCTCAGGATCATGCACACAGATAAATCAACCGATGACAAAACAAACGAGTGCTCGGCTTTCAAGTATTTGATTTAGCAAAAAAAAATCCCTTGACTTGCTCTTGAAAGAATAAAAGCGTGGCGGGTGAGAAATGCTGCAGGAGGAGGAGGAGAGCGTGCTCAGTGCTGTTTCTGCCGCCGCTGCTGCTGCTGGAGCTGTTTGTGTTGCTGTTGGTGTTGATGTTGTTGCTGTTCACTGGGACTGAAGTCTGCACAGAAGCCGTTGGCGTGAGTCGGGGAGCTGCTGCTGAAGCCTGTGTTCTCTGAGTACAGAAACTGCGCCGCGAAATCTGGATGATGATCCACAAACTCCCTGAAACACTCTGAGCAGAACAAGCACACACACACACACACACACACACACACACACACACACACACACACACACACAATATATCAAATCAGTAACTGCTTTATGTGTACCTTAATGTATCGTATCTTATCGTGTCAGTAGCTGCTTGATATGTATCTTAATGTATCGTATCAGTAGCTGCTTTATATGTACCTTAATATACCGTATCGTATCATATTAGTAACTGCTTTATATGTACCTTAATGTATCGTATCAGTAGCTGCTTCATATGTACCGTAATGTATCGTATCAGTAGCTGCTTCATATGTATCTTGATGTATCGTATCAGTAACTGCTTTATATGTACCTTATTGTATCTTATCGTGTCAGTAGCTGCTTGATATTTATCATATTATATCAGTAATTGCTTTATATGCATCTTAATGTATCGCATCAAATCAGTAGCTGCTTCATATGTATCTTTAATATGTTGTATCATATCAGTAACTGCTTCATGTGTCGTATCAGTAGCATCTTGAAATGTATCTCAATGTATTGTATTGTATCGTGTCTGTAGCTGCTTCATATGTATCTTAATGTATCGTATCAGTAACTCCTGCATATGTATCGTATTGGTAGCTGCTTCATATGTATCTTAATGTATCGTCTCTGTAGCTGCTTCATATGTGATCTACAACTGAGATGTGTACTGTATTTGTTCTTACCGAATGTGATTTTCCCCGAGTCCTGCTCATCGATGGCTCTGAACAGCCGGCCGACTCTGAGCTCCGCAACACCCAGAGCCGTCCGCAACACACACATCAGCTCATTCTCTGTGATCGCTCCGTCCTCATCTGCCTCGAACAGCTGAACACGCACAGAAAACACACACACACAGTGTTCAGCAGACACATACACAAACACGCAAAGGCACACACACAAAAACGCATAAACACCCACACACACACACACACACACACACACCCTGAAGGCCAGCCTGATGGTGTCCAGAGTTTTAGCAGGTCGACACACCACAGAGAAAGCGATCACGAACTCCCGCACGTCAATCGAGCCGTCTTCATTCTACAGACACAAATTAGACATTAAATAAATATTTTAAACTAATAATAACAAACTGATTTAGACACAGATCAGATCCTGGATCAATACACAGAGAAAAACACAACCCTTATTTAATAAACAGCCCTGGGAAAACAAGAGACAACACACTGAAGATTACTGTAGATTTACTGAAGATTACTGTAGATTTACTGAAGATTACTGTAGATTTACTGAAGATTACTGTACATTTACTGGCTTTATTAGCTATGGGTTTGAGTAAAATCTAAACATTTCTTTAATTAATATTAATAATATAATGATATAATTTCTTCCAGACAACACTATATGTTTTGCTTGTCTAGAAAAAGTTCCTGATCTCAGAGGTTTTAGACATTTGGACTGGAAACAAGACAGAAACTCTGAGTAAGAGAAGCTTTTTTAGCAGTGAAAGTCCAAGTGTTCTGCTTTCTCCCGTGTTTTCAGGAGAAATCTAAACTAATGAATGTTTTTTATAAATGTGAGTGTACCTCATCGAACAGCGTGAACATGTCTCTAAGCATCTCAGACTGAGGCAGGTCCAAGAACTGAGCGAATCCCTCCAGACTGAGTCTCTCGCCCTGCAGCTTCACAGCTCTGCTCCCATAATCCCGCAGGAGCCGCTCCGAGTCCTGCCGCTTCAGTCTGAAAGACCACACACACACACACACACACACGCATAAATACACACACATAAACACACAAAACCACACAGCGAAACAAACACACACACACACACACTTTATTTATTTAATGCAATCATTTGGTGCTATGTCTCTCCGTCTGTTCATCTTGATCTACACACACCCTTTACTGCTGTAATCACAGCAACTCCAGTATTCTGTGTGTGAGCTCCCTCTGCTGACAGCACAGCCTCATCATCACTTACTACACATCAGGATCGACCCATCTCTGGACATATTCTCAGTCAGCCGTTAAAGAGGATCCACAACAGTTTGCTAAACTGTCGTTGAACTCTTTCAGGTTTGAAGGTTTAGCTTCACTTTAAATGTTGATTTTTATATATTTTTGTGCATTTATTTGTCACATTACTGATTTTTTTGGCACTATCTTGAGACTAATACTACTAATAATGCTTGAGTAAGTGTGTGTGCCGACTCACCCCAGACTGCGCACCAGTTTGGCGAACTCCAGCAGGCAGGTGTGTACGGGCAGGCGGATCTGCCCCTCCGCCATCGCCAGCTGACAGTCCTCGAAGGAGTAATCTGTGACGGGGACCTGCAGCGCTCTACACACACACACACACACACATTTTTAATTCACACATGTGCACAGACACATATGCACACAAACACACATGTGCAGATCTTACTTGGCCATCAGGCGGCGCACATTGTTAGCAAAGAGTGCCGGGTTCTTCTTCTCCTCCTCTGAGGGCGAGTAAGTGGGCAGATACTGAGAAACACACACACACACACACACACACACACACACACACACACACACACACACACACACACACACACATACATTAGTGGAGTTTCAGACATTCAACACAAGATTAGTGTGTGTTTGGAGAGAGCATACACACATGTACAACACAACTAAACTGTGAGATCCATCAATACAGGCATTGTTTATTAATTTGTGCAATGAAGCTTGGATTATGATCACTGGACGTTCGTTTCTATAGGCAGTGAACAACCCATCAATACAAATGCAGTATCAGAAACAGAACTCCTGATATACACACATCAATACAGTGTGAAAGAGTGACTTACGCTCCAGGGCCCTGCCATGTCCAGGTGATTGAGTCCTGAAACACACACACACACACACACACAAAGCAGAACATCAGCATTAGTATCACTAAGGCCAGCGCGTCCATAGAGGAGACCTAGGTGGCCGTCTAGGGCGGCAGAATAGAGAGGGCGGGGTCCCCGACACTACCCTCACCACCCGCGCCCTCAGTTATATCCGCTTGTAGGGCAGCGTCCCCAACACTGCCCACCGCGCCCTTAGTTATGTCCACGTCTAGGGCGGCAGAATAGAGAGGGCACCCCCACCCCCGCTTTCACATTAGGGTTGAGGGCGGCGTTACCGTCCTTTGCCTAGAGCGGCAGTTCAGCTTGCTCCGGCCCTGAGTATCACATATATACAGCGGGTGACACTTCAAAAAGACCATTACCGCCGTGTGTGGCGCTGCCGCAGCACAAGGGGATTGAGAACATGTTTTTAGGTGTAACAGAAGTTCACCACTGTGCCACCAGGAGGCACAAAGGGACTGGAAGGGAATAAACAGAAATATACAGCAGCTGTAAATACCCTACTACTTGTAAATGAAGATGAAATAATGAAACAAAGCATTATAATTCCTTCATTATCATTTAAAACTTGTTAACAAGCTTAATTATCATTGTAAACTGTTTAAGTGCAACGAGGATTCATTTTGGAAAGTAAAACTTAAGAAATAAAACATACATACACAAATAAATAAATAAGTAAATAAATAAGTAAATAAATAGATAAATAAAAAAATAAAAAAATAAGTAAATAAATAAGTAAATAAATAAACAAAGTAAATAAATAGATAAATAAATAAATACGTAAATAAATAAACAAATAAATAAATAAGTAAATAAATAAATAAGTAAATAAATAAGTAAATAAATAGATAAATAAAAAAATAAAAAATAAAAAAATAAATAAGTAAATAAATAAATAAGTAAATAAATAAACAAAGTAAATAAATAGATAAATATATAAATACGTAAATAAATAAATAAATAAATAAGTAAGTAAATATGTAAATAAATAAATAACGCAGTGTTTTAGCCTAAATATTTAGATGTATCATGTTTGTTATTTTAAAGTGATAGAACTAAGTAAATAAATAAGCTTGAGCAAAGAGTTGAAGGACTGAGGAATCCTACAAACCCACAACTGTGAGAAACAAAAGTGCTGTATGTCAGTTTCTGACTCTTAAAACACCATCTATTATGTTTGCAGATATTTTAGACACATGCTCAGTGAACACTCTTGTTTATCTGAAGAACAATGCTGATGTCAGATATTCTGCGGTACGTGCCATAACAAGTATCACAGACATACAGTGGGTGACACTTCACAGGGGCCATTACCGCCGTGTGTGGCGCCGCCGCAGCACTAAAGAAGTAAGAACTTGTTTTTAGGTGTAACAGAAGACTGTGCCACCAGGGGGCACAAACAGACGGAAAGTAAAACTGGCAACCTGTGCGCTAGTGCTTTGAAGCAGGACTGCAATACCTAGTTTAACCACTGGGTGTCAAACTTACACACTGCACCTTTAAATGTACAGAGTAGGAAATCTGAGATGCAAAAACAACAAGAAGTCAGAATCACTTCCATCACTGTCTAAACTCCAACACAGAAACAAATAATCTACAATCAGCAGAAATAAAGATGTAAGGTGTGTGTGTGTGTGTGTGTGTGTGTATGTGTGTTTTAATGAGAGAACAGTCTAATGTCTCACCAGCTGGTTTGGGTAGCGGATCACCACCGGCTGAACAGGAACTGCTGGAATAAAAGCTCCTGAAACACACACACACACATACACACACACACACACACACACACACACACACACACACACACACACACTTAGATCACACTGAACAGAAGAGCAGAGAACAGCAGGAACACACACACTCACACACACACACACCTGGTTTAAACGTGATCAGGCAGGATCTATTGGTGCACGTCCCTTCTGGAAATATCATGATCTGGAAAACACAAGAAACTCCGATTACACAAGTGTGTAGCTGTGAGTGTTTGTTGTTACAGCAGTGTAAGCTGTAAGTGTGTATCTGTGAGTGTGTGTCCTCCTGAATGCACACTTATCTTGATCTTCACTGTGTGTGTGTGTACCTGTGGCCAGGCTCCTCCAGAATGCGCTCTCCTCTTGATCTCCTCCACTGTTTTGCGTCTGGAGTCCTGGTCCGATCGAGACACAAACACCGGCCGGATGTATTTGATCAGAGCTGTGGAGAAACAGCAGACACACACTGAAGTACAGCACAACACACTGAGGAAACACTGCTGAAGCTGACTGACACACACACACACACACACACACTACACTCAGACACCAGGAAGAGTGTGTGTTTCAGTCAATTTCTAATCAATCAATCAATCACACACATGATGATGATGATGATGAGGAAGAGTATAATGAAGAATACAATGATGATGATGCAGAACGGTGAGATCAGTGATTGTTCAGCACATCTCCTCAGTGCAGGATTACAGCTCAGCGTCCAGCAGTGGATCAGGGATTTACACCTACACCACAATTAGCAAACCCTAACCAGCTTCCTCTAAATGCAGGACGCTGAAGCGCTGCTGAGATTCTGCACACGCTCAGTCTGAACGCTTCTGCACCGCGACCTTATCCTGTTACTGCGCTATTTCAGTCCATTCACTTTTAAAAACAACAACATGATGAAAATACATTCAACTGTGCGTCAGGCACACCATGTGGGTCTGCTCTGAGGTTAGCATCTGGAGCTAAAGCACAACATGAAAGAAATCTCAACTGTGGAACTATGTTACTTAGTAACTGCGTCAAACATGTTACCATGTCAACTATGCCAACGCATCAACTATCCTACTGCGTCAACTATGCTACTGTTACCATCAACTATGCTACTGTGTCAACTATGCTACTGTTACCATCAACTATGCTACCGCGTCATCTCTGTAACTATTAAGTCAACTGTTAGCGCATCAACTATGTTACTGCATATATGTTAGTCAACTGTTACTGTCAACTGTTACAGCATCAACTCTATTACAACGTCAACTATGTTGCAGCACCAACTATGCTACCACATCAACTATTTTACTGTTACCACCAACTGTTACAGCGTCAACTTTGTTACCATGTCAATTGTGCTACCACATCAACTAAGCTACTGTTACCTTCAACTCTGTTACAGCGTCAACTATGTTACTACATCAACTATATTACAGTGTCAACTATCTTACTGTTACTATCAACTGTTACAGCGTTAATTATGTTACTCTGTTACAGCATCAACTATGATACTTTGTTACAGTGTCAACTATGTTACCACATCAACTAAGTTACAATATCAACTGTCACTGCATCAACTACAATACAGCGTCAACTATGTTACCGTGTCAACTATGTTACCATGACAACTATCTTACTGTTACTATCAACTGTTACAGCGTCAACTATGTTACTCTGTTACAGCATCAACTATGTTACCACATCAACTAAGTTACAATATCAACTGTCACAGCGTCAACAATGTTACCGTGTTAACTATGCTACCATGTCAAATGTCTTACTGTTACTATTAACTGTTACAGCATCAACTATGTTACTCTGTTACAGCGTCAACTACATTACCATATCAACTAAGTTACAATATCAACTGTCACCGCATCAACTACGTTACACTGGTAACAACCATGTTACCACATCAACTCTGTTACAGCATCATCTACGCTACCACATCACCTGTCTTACTGTTACCATCAACTGTTACAGCGTCAACTATGTTACCACATCAACTGAGTTACAATATCATTTGTCACTGCGTCAACTATGTTGTAGTGTCAACTATGTTACCATGTTACATGTGCAACCATGTCAACTATCTTACTGTTACTATCAACTGTCACCGTGTCATCTACGTTACTGTTACAGTGTCAACCACGTTACCACATCAACTGTTACTGCCTCAACTATGCTACCACGTCAACTATCTTATTGTTACAACTAAGTTACCATATCAACAGTCACCTCGTCAGCTACGTTACTCTGTTACCGTGTCAACCATGTCACCACATCAATTGTTACAGCGTCAACTATGCTACCATGTTAACTATCTAACTGGTACCATCAACTATGTTACCGCGTCAACTATGTTACTGTTACCACGTCAACCATGTTACTGTGTCAACTATGTCACTTTGTTAACGCACACACTCTGTTTAGTTTAAAGTTAAACAACTAGCTAAACAACAATTAGTAACGTACATAAATATTTCCTATCGTATTGAAGTACTTTGCCTTATTTTACATTAATAAGAAATTCAGTTTACCGTAAATTATTAATTTGATCTAGAACACTGAAAATGTACCCACACAATACACTTATATATATATATATATATATAATTTAAAGAAATGTTCAAATGCTGAGCACTCACTGCCCCACAGCGGGATGTCTTTGCTCTCAGCCTTCATCACGATGGATGCCATCGTCATGGTAACGGGAATGGCGTCGAAATACGAGGAGTGCGGGCCGAGGGTGAGGATGGAGGCTTCAGCGGGCGGAGCCGGCCTGCCTTTAATGCTGATCCAGTGGAAGCCACCAGCAAACCACATGACCCGCATGATGGTGCGCAGAGCCACGTCCACCAGCCTGAGGAGCACACACACACACACACACACACACACACACGCACGCACACACACATACACACACACACATTAACCCTCCTAAAGCTCTGAAATAAAGCAGATCAGTCTTCAGATCTATTCAACATGAAGAAACAGCTGATCTCCATCACACACTCTGGGTTTCCCCTCATCAGTGTGCAGCATCACAGCAGGGTGTACGTCACCTAATGTGTTTGTGTGTGTGTGTGCATGTTCATGTGTGTCTGTGTATTTATGTGTATGTGTGGGTGTATGCAAGTGAGTGTATGCAAGTACTCCATGTGTGTGTGTGTGTGTGTGTGTGTGTGATGATCGTGCAGTCAGAAACAGAAGCTGAACATTTCTCAGCTTCCTCATTCATTAAAACAGAGGATCTGACGTCAGACTCCGCTCCCACAGACAGAAACACACCACAGACACACAGAGTGAGTGTGTGTGTGTGTGTGTGTCTTTAATAAGAACTGATGGTGTAGTCTGTGTATTTAAGTGCACGTGTTCACGTAAGAGTGTGTGTATGTGAGTGTATGTGTGTGTGTATGTATGTATGTGTGTGTGTGCATTTATGGTGTGTGTGTGTGTATTTATGGTGCGTGTGTGCGTTCAAGTGTGTGTGTGTGTGTGTGTGTGTGTGTGTCTCCACCTCCTCCATAGTCTCTGTGTCTCCACAGTGTTCTCGGAGCGCCCCACAGTGGCGATGAAGGCGAAGGGCCAGGCCAGCAGCATCATGAAGGCGGCGATGAAGAGGCGGATGGGGAAGAGCGTCAGCGTCATCAGGCCGATCTGCAGAACACACACGCACATGCACAGTTAACTATGGGGACATTCTATGGGTTTCCATTGTTATGAACTCTACAGCCACACAGCAAGGTCTCTGGTTCGAGTCTCGGCTGGGTCAGTTGGTGTTTCTGTGTGGAGTTTGCATGTTCTCCCCGTGTTGGTAAGGGTTTCCTCCGGGTGCTCCGGTTTCCCCCACAGTCCAAACACATGCGCTACAGGGGAACTGATCAACTACACTGGCCATAGTGTGTGTGTGTGGGTGTTTCCCAGTACTGGGTTGCAGTATGTTCACATTCTGATCAATCGGTCATCAATTAAAGTCCTGACGGCAGCAGTGTGGAGAGATTCAGCAGCAGGCGCGACACATTACGCCACAGATCTCTTCTCTTATCAAACAGCAGGTGTGTGTTATCAGCGCGCCGGCCATACACTTATCTACAGTCAATATTTGTGTGTCTCTTATCAGCACTTACACACTGATAGCTTTCAGAGGGATCAATAAAGAGCAGGCGGGCTGGAGGACCATCAGATGCTCTACATCATGCAGAGAAACAGAGCGACATACCACAGTAAAAGTACAACACTGACACAACATGCAGAGCTGGCATCTGCCCTGAACACTACTGGAGGAGTGAAGGCAGCACTCAAGAGTGTCAGTTAAGGAGAACTGCACTGAACATGAGTCCTCTATACACACATTTACTGCTGCTTCAAGCTACTTTCAAGAGTTCACACTTAGATATTGCTTGATAATAATAGCAGGTCTGACATGCTGTCCCGGGAGAGAACCCTGAGCTTGGAGATGGTTGAGCCCAGAGCTCCCGCCTGGTCAATGAGCATGTGAGGGGGTGTGAGATCAGATAGTTCTCCCCTTGGTAAAGGAGGAAAGGTGGAGATGGGGTGGAAGGGGGGTTTCTTCAAAAGATGAAGATGAGGGAGTAATGCTAGTCAGGCTATTTATAGTGAGTCTGGAATGATCTGATTGGCTTACTAATGATTACAGATGAGATGAGCCACCAATCACATCACGTGCTCCCCTCGAAAATAGTTTGTGAAACTTCACAAAATGAGCTGAAACTACCCAACTGTTGAGTTTTTGTGGAGGAGTGCGTGTGCATATGTATATCTGTGTGTGTATGTGTGTGTGTGAATGTATGAGTGTGTGTGTGAATGCATATGAGTGTGAGAATGAATGTGTCTGTGTGTTCTTAAAATTAGGGGTGTCAAAATTAATTGTTTCTTCGGTGCACCGTGATGCAGACGCGGACAATTCGGTATCGGTTCAGTAATAACCATAACCAGTTATTGCGTACTGACGACATTTATCTCATATGCGGTATGTCACTGTAGCTTACTATGGTGGGGGAGGTGAGCGCGGGTATTTACAACACTACAACTACTTAAAAACGCAGAAACTGTGCACAACTTCATAACCGAACCGAACCGTGACACCAGTGTAGATTCACACCTCTACTTTAAATGAGCTGAAACAACCCAATTCTTGAGGCTTTTTAAAAATAACTCAATTGTTTCAGGTTCAATCCATTTAAATGGGTAAAAACTAGTAAGTTAACTTAACTCAACTTATGTTGTCCCAACTCAAATTGATGTGGAACCCAGCGATTCCTTAACTAACACACTGCCAATTAAACGTTTAGCTTAATGCTGTGTTCACATCAGACGCATACACGCAGATATTTTGAGTTTACTGGCTTCACTCGCGAGTCAATGATTTTTCAATGATGACATGGACTGTATTGAGAGAATAGCTGTGTTTATGTGCTTTAGGAAGGCTGAAAAACAGTGTATATTTGTTCAGCGCATTGTCTGAGTCCACTAGATCCTTTCAGAGGTGCAACAGCTCTGAGTTCATCAACTCCCACAGAAACTATGGGTGATGGACGCGTTCAGGTCGCATTTCAGTCACGGACGCAGGCTCTGAGGGTTATTTGATTAGACTGATACAGACAAGGAGAAAAGATAAACATACAGAGACGATCATTTGAGTGAAAATACAGCACTACAGATGTACTCAGTGCACAACCGAAAGTACAATTCTTGTTAAAATCTACTCTACTACAGTAATCTGAGTAATATCAGACGCTCTCTGTGTGAATGGCATCCTGAGAGTAGAGTTATAGATGTACAGACGTGTGTTCATGCGTCTGAAGAGGAACACACAGTTCAGTTTCCATTGACTGAGGTTTTCCACCGACTGCTGAGCTGGAAAAGGGCAGGACAGCAGAAAACAGCGGCGTCTGGGGCTCGTCTGACTGACCTCAGAACAGAGTCAAGCTGAAAATTATACAGTTACTGTGCTTTACCCCAGCTCACGGGGACGCTCACCACCATAACACTAAAGCAATGAGTATGTCTTTGCCATGATGATATTAGACTAGATATTCTTCAAGACACTAGTGTTCAGCTTACAGTGA